AGAATTTGTATGACTTTATACATTTTTATTGACCTCCATGTCTAATCTTCTGAAGATTGTTATGGAAAATAATATTTTTTTCGCTTTGAAAGTTTACGAAAACGTATTTTGAACGATTATTGTTTCTAAGTACAGCGGTCATCCGTTTAGAACCAAATGTTTCCCTAACGACGGGAGCCCTGTTTGATGTCCTAGCAACCATTGTTTCGCACGCGTGGTCACGATAAATTTTCTCGCTTCTCGGGTTTCTTTTGGTAAAAAAAACAGCTGAAATATCACCCCAAAAAAACGTGAAGTTTCACCTGAAAAAAGGGTGAATACTAGAGTAAAGGATTTTCAAGTCACTTCTGGAAATGGCGTCGGAAACAAGGAATGATTTACATCTTAATCTATAAAGGTGGCGGTACCTACATCAATACTAAAAGCGGATAAATGTCAATTAGATAAAGTCAAAATATTAAAAAGAAAATTTGGAACGCTTCATGAGTGTTTCATCTTTGCTAAGTGTCATGAAGTGTGACCTTTCTTCCCAAGTACTCATGATCGACTGTTAAAACAACCAATTTGATTGGCTGATACACAGTTAAATATTAACTTTTAAAGTTGGAACACAACAGAGAAGAATGCGTCGGTGCCATGCGAAGTACCTCGACCAATCAGACTCTTTGCTTTTTCCAACTTTTGACCAATGTCATTGCTTTATTTGTTCCAACTTTGAAATACACAGGTAGCCCAATTGATATTATGCAGAGATTCATACGAAATCATCGAGATGTCGAAGTTTGAAGCCTGTGAAAATTTCTGCTTGTAATTCTTAATTGTTTTATACGATTTATACCAGCCAGAAAGAAATTTCCCTCGCACTTCTTTCAAGTATTTTTGAGATTGCCGAGAGCATAAGGTACCGGGACCTCCATCATTGCTCGGAGCGGATAAATCTCAATTAGATGGAGTCAAAAATATGAAAAAATAATGAAAAAGAAAAATTTGGAACGCTTCACGATTGTGCGTGTCATCCTTGCGTCAGGGGCCATGCTAATCTTCTCTGTATCGTTCCAATTTTAATAGATGCGCAACCTTTCGGAAGCACGACKTACATGGTTTACTATCTSTCTTATACTAATATTCACTTACTTATCCTGAAATGTGGGATTACAATTCTGCTAAACATAACTTACGTAGYGCGCATGACCTTTCATTTGGTTTGACGTACTTYATTTTATTTACTCAGTTTTGATGTTTTTTATTATATATTAAAGTATATGTATGGGAATTAAAATACTTAAAATCCTCAAAAGAATTAGAATATACTCAAAGACAATTTGATTTTATAAAATGTTTCTATGAAATATGAGTATGACCTAAACACCACTTTCTCTGCCAACTTTTCCGGTAAAAAAACGTTTTGCCAACGTAGGTGTCAATTCCCCCTCCCCACCCCCACTCGTGCGCTCCTTTTTCCCATTGAACAGTTCCAAACAGAATTTGTATGACTTTATACATTTTTATTGACCTCCATGTCTAATCTTCTGAAGATTGTTATGGAAAATAATATTTTTTTCGCTTTGAAAGTTTACGAAAACGTATTTTGAACGATTATTGTTTCTAAGTACAGCGGTCATCCGTTTAGAACCAAATGTTTCCCTAACGACGGGA